CAGCACTCTCAGTTTCTAGTATTCACATTGAGTCACTCAGGGGAAATCGGCATCTCTGTAAACAGGCAGAAGAAGGTGCCCAGTGGAGGTGCACCACACTGCATGGAAATGCTGTCCACATGCATCTTTGGGGTCTTAATGTAACTAACTGGACTGTCATTTGCAGGGCTAGATACTCACTGAATCTGGTCATACTGTTTTTGGCAGCTAATGGCATTTGTTCCCCATCAGTTTTCTACAATTATTTGCTTTGCTGAAAAATAAATCTTTTGTTAACTTACTCTAAGAGACTAGATTTTCAATTTTCAATTTTCAAATATGAAAGCAAATCAGAGAAGAAGAATATGTGTATATAGCATGCATTTTCCTGCCTATCAAAATTCTTCTTGTATTGCCTTGGAAACCCTAGGAAACCACCTAAAGAATTCTCCCTTCAAATTGTTTAGCCAGAATTTTAGATTTCAAAAGATCCAAAACTTAACAACTGAGCAAAGCAAAAATCTTGTCTTTGCTTCTTGTTAGTAATCTGTCATTTCAGAAAACATGGCAATTATGCCAAGCCATTGAAAAAAAGGTGGTTTTGGTTAATTTTATCCCACTTAAAATGTTGTCTTTAATTGTTACTTTTATCATGTTAATCTAAGATAAACTATCTACGTAACTATGCATTCAGGAAATATTATGTCAGGCGCGGTGGCTCACACCTGTAATCCCAACACTTTGAGAGGCCAAGGCAAGTGGATCATGTGAGGTCAGGAGTCCCAGACCAGCCATGCCTACATGGTGAAACCCCATCTCTACTAAAAATACAATAATTAGCCAGGTGTGGTGGTGTGTACCTGTAATCCCAGCTATTTGGAAGGCTGAGGCAAGAGAATTGCTTGAAACTGGGAGACAAATGTTGAACTGAGCCAAGATCTTGCCACTGCACTCCAGACTGGGAGATAAAATGAGACTCCATCATAAAAATATATATATATTTCTATTAAGGAAGGTGTTTAAAGTTCAGTATTGTAGTACAGTATAGCAGAATTCTCTAAAATCAGAAGTTCAATGTAATTTCAAGGTTTTTGTTTTGTTTTGTTTTGTTTGTTTGTTTGTTTGTTTTTTTGAGACAGAATTTTGCTCTTGTTGCTCAGGCTGGAGTGCAATGGCGTGATCTTGGCTCACAGCAACCTCTGCCTCCAGGGTTCAAGCGATTCTCCTGCCTCAGTCTCCTAAGTAGCTGGGATTACAGGCATGCGCCACCAAGCCTGGCTAATTTTGTATTTTTAGTAGGGATGGGGCTCCTCCATGTTGGTCAGGCTGGTGTCCAACTCACAACCTCATGTGATCGGCCTGCCTCGGCCTCCCAAAGTGCTGGGATGAGCCACCATACCCGGTCTGGTTTCAAGGTTTTTAAACTGTGAAAACAAATGATGATTAGGTATGCTTTATGCTTTTTCCTTTCTTTTCTTTTTTTTTTTGTTTGTTTTGAGCCCGAGTCTTTCTGTCACCCAGGCTGGAGTGCAGTTGTGAAATCTCAGCTCACTGCAACTTCCATTTTCTAGGCTCAAGTGATCCTCCCACCTCAGACTCCTGAGTAGCTGGGAATACAGCCTTGTGCCACCATGTCGGGCGATTTTTGTACTTTTAGTAGAGATGGTGTTTTGTCATATTGCCCAGGTTGGTTTCAAACTCCTGGGCTCAAGGGATCCATCCACCTCAAACTCCCAAAATGCTAGTGGTACAGGAGATAGAAAGAAATTGTTTGGGCAGATAGCAAGGGTAAAAGAGTCCCTGGCAAGGTTTCCCTTTTAACCAAAAGCAGCCTGAAAAATTGAGCTGCAAACATGGATAAGCAAACCGGAACCTTGCACTAACTAGTGAATGCCAGAAGCTGTGCCAATAGAAAAGGGTTACCTGAGAGCCAGGTATGTTCGACATGGAGGCTCCGTCCTCCCTTTCCTCATCATGCCTACGTTAAACAAATAGGCAATATGGCTGCTGGTCAGGCAGAGAACCTATCTGCATAATAAAAAATTAGGGTGGGGGTGGCCAGATTTTCGCACCTATGCAAATAGCACAACTAGTCCTAACCAGTTTTTTGCACTGTATACAAATGGCGCACCTAATCCAATCAATATTTCATACCCTATGTAAATCAGGCATTAACTTCTCAAGATCATCTATAAAGCACCTTGCATTTCACCCGGAAACCGGCAACCCACTTCTCCAAGAACCCTCTCTGTGGCAGAGAGCTCTTTTCTCTCTTTTGCCTATAAAGTTCCACTCTGAACCTAACTGTGTGTGTGTCCATGTTCTAGTTTTCCATGCCACGATGCCACGAGGATTATAGGCATGAGCCAAGGCACCAAGCTGGTATGCTTTTATTTTTTGGAGACAGAGTCTTGATCTGTCTCCCAGGCTGGAGTGCAGTGGCTCCATCTTGGCTTATTGCAGCCTCTGCCTCCCGAGTTCAAGCGATTATTATACCTTAGCCTCCCGAGTTGCTGGGACTACAAGCGCACACCACCACACCGGCTAATTTTTGTATTTTTAGTAGAGATGAGGTTTCACCATGTTGGCCAGGCTAGTCTCGAACTCCTGACCTCAGGTGATCACCCGCCTCAGCCTCCCAAAGTGCTGGGATTACAGGCATGAGCCACCGTGACCGGCACTGGTATGCTTTTTCATAACTTCAATTCTAGGAGGGTACCCACTGGTCTTTATGGGGCTTCTGTAAGGATACTGTAACCCTATTCCACCAGAATGGTGCAGACATGCTGATTTTATTAGAATGAGTTCAGTCTTCTTGGTAGACTGTTGGTATCCCAGAGGCTGACCATTCACCTCGGCTTACTAAATGTAGCTTCATGATGCCAATGAGTCCTTTCAGCCAGGTTGCCTTTTTCTTCTCATTGATGTAGTCATGTTGTGACCTCTTTTGCTTGTCTTATGCTATTCCAGATGATAGGTGATTATTTCTTCCATAAGTTAGACCCTCTTTCTTTCTTTTTTTTTTTTGAGACGGAGTCTCGCTCTGTCGCCCAGGCTGGAGTGCAGTGGCGCGATCTCGGTTCACTGCAAGCTCCGCTTCCCAGGGTCACGCCGTTCTCCTGCCTCAGTCTCCCGAGTAGCTGGGACTACAGGCGCCCGCCATCACGCCCGGCTAGTTTTTTGTATTTTTAGTAGAGACGGGGTTTCACTGTGTGAGCCGGGATGGGATGATCTCGATCTCCTGACCTCGTGATCCGCCCGCCTTGGTCTCCCAAAGTGCTGGGATTACAGGCGTGAGCCACCGCGCCCGGTCCCCTCTTTCTTTTCTCTGCCATGAGATCCTCCTATGACGTATCTGTCTCTTTCTCTTAAAAGCACTTGTAATCCCAGCACTTTGGGAGGCCGAGGCGGGCGGATCACATGAGGTTGGGAGTTTGAGATCAGCCTGACCAATATGGAGAAACCCCGTCTCTACTAAAAATACAAAATTAGCCGGGCATGGTGGCGTATGCCTGTAATCTCAACTACTCGGGGGGCTGAGGTAGGAGAATCGCTTGAACCCGGAGGTGGAGGTTGTGGTGAGCCCAGATCACGCGAGTGAAACTCCGTCTCAAAAAAAAGTACCTCTGGGTCGGGCGCGGTGGCTCATGCCTGTAATCCTAGCACTACTTTGGGAGGCCAAGGCAGGTGGATCACTTGAGGTCATGTATAATATTATAGATAATATTATATATTATTATATTTTATATTATATACAATAATATATTACATGAAAAATTACATACTGCTCACATATTAAAATAATATTTTGAATATTAGAATATTTGATTTCTAGAACTGGAGTATATAAAGATGAAATTGTTACAATAAATTCCACTTGTTTCTTCGTTTTTTTTTTTTTAAGTTTGGCTACTAGAATGTTTAAAATTCACATGTGACTTACATTTTGTTTCAGAGGATTGCCTCCGTTTTAAAATCTCAGGCTGTCTGCTTAAAGGACCAGAAGCTAGGAAGGTCGTAAAATCTGAAATTGTTAAATAATGTTATTATATTTTTTCCATTTGTTAATAGCCATATAATTGTGAACTTCAAATATCTGAGACAGATCTCAGTTAATTTCGAAAGTTTAATTTGAGGCCAGGCGCGGTGGCTCACGCCTGTAATCCCAGTACTTTGGGAAGCCGAGGCGGGTGGATCACCTGAGGTCAGGAGTTCAAGACCAGCCTGGCCAACATGGTAAAACCCCAGATCATGCAAGTGAAACTCCGTCTCAAAAAAAACTACCTCTGGGTCGGGAGCGGTGGCTCACGCCTGTAATCCTAGCACTTTACTAAAAGAAAAATTAGCCAGCTACTCTGGAGGCTGAGGCAGGAGAATCGCTTGAACCACGGAGGTGGAAGTTGCAGTGAGCGGAGATCGGATTGTGCCACTGCACTCCAGCCTGGGAGACAGAGCGAGACTCCGAAAGAGACAGAGAGAGAGAGAGAGAGAGAGAGAAAGAAAAAGAAAGAAAACTGGACATGGGAAGGGGGCTTCCAGGTCCTAGGTAGATAAAAAACAAATGGTTGCATTCTTCTGAGTTCCTGATTAGCCTCAGAAAAGGAGGCAATCAGATATGCAGTCATTTCAGTGAGCAGAGGGGTGACTTTGAATAGAATGGGAGGCAGGTTTGCCTAAGCAGTTCCCAGCTTGACTTTTTCCCTATAGCTTAGTGATTTTGGGGCCCCAAAATTTATTTTTCTTTCACACAATATACTATTTATTAATACAAATGCATATGACCTTATACACAAGGTTAAATGCAAATACCCTGTGGGTGGGCCTGGCTCAGTTCAGGGAGGAAGCCCTGATTGAAAAGCCTGCAGCTTAGGTTTCATTCTATCTTCTTTCAGCCCGGCAACTGAGCATATCTTCTGCCATTCAGGGCCTGAGGGGGCGGGTCCTTAAACATCATCCAATCAGAGACGCTGGGCTGGGACCCGTCCAATCAGGCACGCAGCTGGAGCGGACAGGACGGCTTCCGGGAATTGGCGGGGCCTTTGTCTCCTGCCTCAGCCGGAGCTCCGGAGCTCTGGGTCTCGTCGTCTTTGCTCTGTGTCCTCTGCTCCTAGAGGTTCAGCCTCTGTGGCCCCGTTACCTGCAGGTATTGGGACATCCACAGCTAAGACGCCAGGACTCCCTGGAAGCCTGGAAATGGTGAGAGTGCCGGGTCCCAGATCCCGAGAGAGGGGGAGGGGCTGGTTGGAACTGGTGGGAAGTGGCGGTGGCGAGACTCCGGCTGCCCTGCAGTCGACTCCAAAATCCGCGCCCGGGAGTTGTCCTTGGCGCAGCTCGGCCCTCAGTCCCCTTCAGTCATAAGATGGCTGCTGGGCTGGCAGCCGGGACCCCGGGCGTCCTGTCTCGTCCCTGTGCAGTGACCGTGCCCTGGCCAGGAACCCTCTCTGGGCAGCTCTGCACCCGCAGCGCCGCATGTCTCCCCGATGACTCAGGGTGCAGGGTTCATGAATAGGAAGAGCTTTGGTTCGTGGGGTTCCCAGACCCTCCTTTTTTCTATTAAAATGTATGGAAGTCACCCCGAAAATATTAAAGAATTTAATCAGACAGTCGTTCACAAATTATAGAGCACCCAGTTGTGGTTTGTAGTTTGTGGTCCATGGGAGGGGCTTGAAGGAAAGACTTTTATAAGGTGTATGATGAAGAAAACCAGTAGTTGGTTAGGTACCGTTATGTAGTTTCTTAATTTGTAAAATCAGGGTGAACATTTCCTGGTTATGTCATCAGAGGTTAATTGGTAGTTTATGGTTGGTTAAGCCTGAATTTTGTTTCCCCCAATGTTGTAATTTACAAAAAGTTTGAGTTAGATTTTTTTTTTCCATTTCTTTCTGAGACGGAGTCTGACACTGTCGCTCAGGCTGTAGTGCAATGGCGTGATCTTGGCTCACTGCAACCAGCGCCTCCCGGGTTCATACGATTCTCCTGCCTAAGCCTCCCAACTAACTGGGATTACAGGCGCACGCCGCAACGCCCAGTTAATTGTTTTGTATTTTAGTAGAAACTGGGTTTCACTGTGTTGCCCAAGCTGGTCTCGAACTCCTGAGCTCAGGCAATCCACCGGCCTCCGCCTCCCAAAGTGCTAGGATTACAGGCGTGAGCCACTGCGCCCGGCGAATTTGAGTTAAATTTTTTTTTAAATGGGGACCCTGGGACTGGAGCTACCTCAATCTGATTGCCTGCTACTTAATTATGTTCACACTCCACAGGGGACAGATTTTCCCCTGAATTTTTCACATGTGGCCCAAGCAGAATCTCAAGACTACTCCCCACCCCCAATTCCTCCAGCTTAACTCTGACTTGCAGTAAAATACCAAATTTCCAGTTCTGACATTCCGAAATGCCAACTTCCTCATCCTAATTCACATTATTTTAGTGTACATTTTAGATACTGTATTTTAATTAATCATTTTTTGACAAAGCATTGGATAGCACTTTAGAAAAATTTTTTTCTGTTTGAAAATATTTCCCAGGAGAAGAAAGCAAAGAATCACCCCCTGACACTGTGTTGTAAAAAATGTATGCGCCTCTTTTTAAAAAAATCTTCCCTAGGCACAGAGATCTTATCAAAATGTTTTTGGGTCAAGGTTTCCCTTTGGAAACTTTATGGAGTGATGTTTCCTCAGCTACTCCTCAGCGTTTTCCTGGTTTTGAGTTTTAGTACTGTCTGGGGATAAACCAAGATACCCACAATCCCTATGTCTGCTAGAATGTTTAGTGAATATCAGCTTCTGGGTCATTTTCTCCCATAGGACAGTCTCATGTATGGAGTGTAGCTTCTCCAAAGAGCAGATGGATGTCATGAGGCTGACAGGCATCTCCTGGTGCACTTTTTTTTTTTTTTTTTTTTTGAGACCGTCTCACTCTGTCACCCAGGCTGGAGTGCGGTGGGGCGATCGTGGCTCACTGCAACTTCTGCCTCCCAGGTTCAAGCGATTCTCTAGTTTCAGCCTGCCAAGTAGCTGGGATTACAAGTGCACGCTGACACACCTGGCTAATTTTTGTGTTTTTTGTAGAGATGAGGTTTCACCATGTTGGCCGTACTGGCCTTAAAATAGTGTACCAAAAAAAAAAAAAAAAAAAAAAAAAAACTAAACAAACTTACTCCAGTGAGGTGGTGCAAGAACTTGCAAACTAAAATGCATCTGGAGCAGTAACTGAGGTATAGTGTCTCCGAACAGGGCGGTCATTGAGCACTTAGCAGGATGGGGTGGGAGAATCAAGTGATCACGGCCTGACTTGACAGGAGTCAAACACATCAGTTTTCTAATCAGCACTGCCACTCTATGGGGGTTTATAATCTTGAAAAATTTGTTCACTTTTTTTGACTTCAGTTTTTTACTGTAAATTGCATTTTATTAGTAAAACTTGAAAGGTAAAAATTTTTTAAAAAGTGAGTTTCAGGGAGAGAAATATCTAATTATATAGTCCATTTGTTAAAAATTATCATTTATCTTTTTCTTTCCCAGAATGAGTTTAAGGATTTTCTCAGGTGTGTCTTTTATGGGTGAGATCAAACAATTCCAAGTCTTGGCTTTTAGAACGCTACCAAGGAAAAAAATAGGGAGAATCTCTTTTTAATTTTGGCTGTAGAAAATAAATACTTTTCCACAAGAGTATGTAGTAGATGATTGGTGAGTTACTTACATTTGTGAAAACATCAGTTCGTACATGCAGGGTACATTTGTGACAGTGAATATCTCTGGTCTGTGTCCTGTTATCTTGATTTCTGAGTTTAATGCTGAATTATATGGTAAAACTTGGTACCTCCCAGAAGTGTTCCCATATGACTAATTGTTTACTACATGATTTTTAATAAAAATTATAAAATAACATGTTTATCATCTAAAAGGAATGGATACTTTTGCTTTTCTTGTTGAGGTATAAAATGTAAACACCTTAAAATGTCTTCCCCTTATATGATCACTGTGTTTGAGTAATTTTGCTGGATTTTTTTAAACACTTTCAGAAACCAAGTGAATACCTCTGACATGGAAATTAAAGCTTCAGCCCAGTGACTCCAAGCTAAGGCTAATATGGAGCCTGCAAAAGGAGCTTATTAAAGGCCCAGTTAGGTTTTTTCTGGAGAGCCTCCCCTGCAGATGTCCCAGCCTGCTCACCCCAGCCATAGAAGAAGCCTTTATACTGAGAGAAGCTACAGAGCCCTGGAAAGCTGGGGACCCACAGGCAGATGCAGTTAAGGTTAAGATGGAAGGGGATTGGGAGGGTCTTACTGAAGATAAAGTTGTTACTGTTTTAAGGTAGTTTCTAGACTTTATAAAATAAAACAAAGTTATATTTATGTACAAAAAAAATTTGAATTCCAAAGGAGTATTGCAACAGGCAAAGTACCAACTATAAGATCTTTACGGATTGCAAAGTTTAGGCAGACAAGATTAGAAAGAAGGTGGGAGGAGATGGCAAATAGAGGGTGGGAAAATTAGATTTTATATCAGAGAATGTTTTACTCTGAAGTCAGTGTGTTCTTAGCTGGGACATAAAATGGTGTATGTTGGCTCAGACTGAGGGTAGCTCAAAGTTCTGAACCTGTGGGAAGAAGATAAACTTAAGTAAAGTTTGATTAAGAAGTATTTTTTCTTAGCCACTGAGACCAATTCAGCTGTTTTTTTCTGTTGTTGTCGTTTGTTTTTTAATGAGAAAAGAAAATGTGGAGTCTGTGTTTGGTTATGTGGTAAGTAAGAAAAGAGAGCACCATCTAAGTCATAATGGGAAGGGTGTTTCCCATTACTGTCTTTCCGTAAACTGTTCCTGGAGAACAAAAAGGATGGATAATTTTATTAATCACAGCTATTTACCAGGATTATCTATGTGCTTCATCTTTCCCCACCTCTTTTCTTGGTCCTATTTCTTCCATTTGAGTTTTCCTGTGTTGTGTCTTTTATAATAAACTGGTCAACATAACTACAGTGTTTGCTGAATTCTGTGAGTAGCTCTATCAAATTATTGAACTTGAGGGAGGTTATGGGAGTCCCAGATTTTTAAACAGTAACCCCAGTGTATAGATGGGCCTATGGAATTTGTGACTGGCATCTGCAGTAAGGATAGTGTTGTGGGACTGAGCCCTGAATCAGGGTCTGTGCTGACCCCGGGTGGTGTCAGAATTCAGATGTTAGACAATTAGTTGGTGTTAGAGAATTGCTTGGTATTCAACAAACTCTAGAAATTTGGTACCAGAGAAGAGCTATCACAGAATCCTGGCCTGGAATGGAACTCTGGGTATGTGGGAATGGGAGGCTCTGCTCTCCTGTACACAGGCTGCCACACTGCCCGTTGTCCTGTGATTCCAGGTCTCCTCCCAAGGTGAGCAAGAACTGAAAACTTAGAGGAAATGAGCTGTGATAACGGACCCCTTTTTTCCACAGCTGCCACCACAGGATTCCCATCCACTCTCACACATACCCACTAGACATTGATGTGTCCACACCCCTCCCAGGACTAGGCACCGCCCTCAGGAATTTCACCATAGCATTTTTGATCCTGCTATTTTTTGCCAAAAATCCACAAAAGTGTCTACATGTCTCTGGGCATATCCCCACCCCCGTACACTGAATCTGCAGCGGCAACCTGCTTTCTCCACCAACCAACAGTTCTGCACCACCTGTTCATAGTCTCATCTGCCTGCATGGACACAAATCAGAGTACAGCCCCCCTGGGCCACTATCTGATAGCACAAACAAATCCTTCCACCTACATTGTACTATACTCCACTCATGGATTTTTTTTCCTTTTAACTTTTACATTTGGTTCGTGGTACACGTGGCGATTTGTTATATAGGTAAAATTGTGTCGTGAGGCTTTGGTGTGCAGATTATTTTGTCACTGAGTTAGTAAGCATAGCACCAAATAGGTACTTTTTCTGATCCTCTTTGTTCTCTCACCCCCCACCCTCAATTTGGCCTCTGTGTTTGTTGTTCCCTGCTTTGTGTCCATGTGTTTTTGTTTGTTTGTTTGTTTGTTTTGAGATGGAGTCTTGCTCTCTTACTCAGGCTACAGTTCAGTGGCATGATCTTACTGCAACCTCTGCCTGCCAGGTTCAGGTGATTCTCCTGCCTCAGCCTCCCGAGTAGCTGAAATTACAGGCATCTGCCACCATGCGTGGCTAATTTATTTATTTTTAAAAATAG